CATTGTTTTACTATTTTATAAATTTTATAAATATTACCTTGTTTAACATTTTGTTAGAGAACGAAGCTTATGCAAAAAATTAAAGAGTCAAGAATTATAACGAACATATAAAAGAAAAAAGTATACATAAACACCAATCATATTTATGGGAAATTAATTGAATCGATCTTCGATCACTTAGTATAATTTATATTTTAAGGATTAAACAGTAATTAATCAAAAGTATTTTTTCAAGCATGATTATATTATCTTTAAGTTAGTTTATATATATATTCATACACATATTTTAAAACATTTGTTCAAATCAAAATATAAAAATATACTAGGAAAAGAAATTTTTTAGGAGCAAGTATTAAATTAGATGTTAAAATATACAAGTATATAATTTATAGATAAAGTTTATATTGTTCGTGAATGTACGAACCGAAATATTGTTGAATTTTCCATTAAAAATGAAAGAGTATGTACTATTATAAGAAATAAATAAATATATTATTATTGAACTGTTCGGTTATTTAATGAAAGTCACTGTGTATTTGTGTATAAGATAATAAATTTGTGCATTTATACATAAAGTGAATATAAAAACAGAAAAGAAGAAATTACATAGACCTTTTATCTCTGCCATCTACAAACTTAAAAACTTTAGTTTTACTAACGTAAAACAAAAATTGTGTAATAATAAAATAAAAAAAGTGCTAATTAGTTCAAACTAAGCGACAAGTAAAGGAAAATGTCGACCCAAGCTTACTACAAGGAACGACTGGGCTTCGATCCATCTGACACCGTCGCTGAGCATCATCGGGAACAGAGCTCTCAGTATGGCTACGAGGAATCTCTCTCCAAATTTAAAGGTCAGAATGAAAGTTCATCGATCGTTATGCAAAATCAGAGTATTTGTAAAAGCAATGATATATTTGCCAAGGGATATCGAAACAATTTAAAGTTTTTCGAACGAGGACCTCGAAAACAGACGAGCCAGTATATTCCAGGAATATTAGGGATGCTGGATTACGTTAATTGAGGCTTACGCTAAGTGATACATTGATTCTACGCAAATTCTGTTATTTTTGTGTATTGTAAACACTTGAATTTAATTTCATTTTTATCATTACTTATTTAAAAGTTTTTAATTTTTTAGTTCATAATAAAAATACATAATTTTTGTTTAAGTAGATAAACGTAGATCTAAAGTTTATAATTATAATTAAATATAATCAAATTAAATAAATCATATTATATTAAATAATTATTTATTTTATAGAGATTATGAATTTATATTTATATACATATAAATATTTGTCATTTCTTAATTATTCATATTAAGTTAATTTCGTACAATAAATTTTATATAAGTTTTTTTTAACAAATTAATTAAAACAGTTTAATTTGTTTTTATAAACGTACACTACATATTGGTTTTTATATTCTAAATTAGCATAACGTGATTTTAATTTAACAAATAGCACATGATTTTAAAGAACAAGAAATGAAATAAAAATTATAATAAATTAAAAGTAAATTAAGGACAGAGAATTTGCATATTATAATCAGAAAAATTTTAATTAGTAAAATTGTATTAATAGTAATTAATAAAAAATTAATACTTTCAACTGTCTATTTTCATTTATTGTGTTAACACTAAAATATTTTTTCAAATATTGTTTTCTGTCAAATTTTTATAAATTCTACGTGGCAACATGTACAGTTACAGTTGTTCAGTATATCACTTATGTTTGGTATCCTTGTTTAAATCTCTTCTATAAATAAGCATCTATTCTATAAATGCAATTATATTTTTATAAATATGATGAGATTTTTGTTGAAGAAATTCCTATAATATATATTTAATATATAGTAAATGAATATTTAAAATTTAATATTTTCATAATTAATCTTACTAATCCTTCATAATTGAATGTTTAATGGATAAATTTTTACGTTATTATTAAAATATCAACTGTACATTGAATATATGTCATTAAATAATTATCTATACTTTTTAATTTATTCTTACTATTGAATTGAATTCATAAATAATTAAATATATTTCTTCATATTATTATTTTAGAATAATTAAATATTATTAGACTTGTTTATGCAATTTCTGAATAAGTAACGTTAATAATCTTTTTAATAATGATTCTTTTTTTGCTTAAAAGATGTTTTGTTATATCATTTTATAATCTTTTCATAACATTATGGTTAAATATTAATATACTAAAAACAATACAGTATTTATTTATTTCACTCTGCTGTTTCATATTAAATGTAATTGATTCCCCCAATTTTAATGTTTAATTTAATGGTATACTCAACATAAGCATATAATCAACATTGAATTAATGGAAACTTGTAGTTTTCATACATTCCTTAATAAATAAAATAAGACCTAATTGAATTTCTTCAATATGTAATGAAAAATATTCTCAAAGGCTCTTTTTGAAGGTTAAACTATATAATTTAAAATTTCATTAAATACAGTAGTAAAATATGAAATTAATGTTAAACCTTAAAATATTTGCAGGAAATATGAGAATGTATAAGATGATTAAAATGATATTTCATATAGAACTTTTTTTATATATTTAATAGTTTTTTAAATTGTTTTCTTATAAATGGAGTAATTACTTAGGAATGAAAAATTTTTATTACCAAAGAATCCACAATTGCGCCATAATGAAAAACACAACTAGCAAAAAATATTCTACAATAATGAATATTATGTATTTTAAATTTCTATAATTCGAAATAAAAATTTAGCATAGCATGATACAATTTATCAGATTATAGCACGTAGCATTTTTTCTGTATATACATTTTTATCTACTGATACAAACTTGACATAAATGCACTAAATCACAAACCTTAACTGTTGCTTTCCAAATACTATATCATCCTATTATACTTTCATTTGTACTTCTTAAATTAATCTATTATTTGCAAAAATAATATTTAGTAAAAAACATTTTCAAATGACTGTAAATATTAATGAAGTATATATAATATTAATAAATATCTTCTAGATTACAAACATTTTAGGCATTAAAATTAACTTAATTATTAAAATTATTACATATAATAAAAACAGTTACAAATGCTGTAAAACTAGCTTAGTAAAAAAAATTGTGGGTACTATTTTCGTATTTATTAAAATATGTAATATGGTATTTAAATTTAAAATAAATAATTTTTGAAAATATGAATATAAATTATAACGTATAATCAGTAATAAAACTAGTGTTTTAAATTTATTATGTTATTAAAAGATAATATATATATTAATACGGTTTATTATGGATTTATAAATATTATTCATTATTAATATTATATATATTATACATAAATATTATATTCTTTTTATCAATAGAAAGGAATAGTCGAAAAATAAGAAAAACGTTTATTCAATTTTTATGTTTTTCACATAAAACAATATTTTTAAATACACATTTAAAATATATATTGTGTAAATAAATAAATAAATATATATATATATATATAGAGAGAGAGAGAGATTAGATATTATTTATATACATAATTATTCTATTACATTTCATGGTTTTATCGAAATATTCATATAGAATTTTATAATTAATTTGAATTAATTGTACTAAAGCTATTAATAGTTTCTATTAATAGTTTCTAATATTATAAAATATGTAGTCTTTTTATAATATTATTTAAACAGCATATATGTATTGAAGCTCAAGAAACTTAGACCTCGGCTGTGCATGTCTTAAACGAGTATAATCTCAGTATCACTATAGATTTTATAAACTAAAGGCAAATCCAACATTCTTAAATTGTAGATTATGTACTATTTTAAAATCAATTTTCTTTTAATCTTTTCAAACGAAATGTTGGAACTGTTAAATTGAAATTTGATTATTTATGAAAATTTTCTCTATAAAATTATATATTAATTTTGTAATTAAATATTTTTCATTTTATAAAATTTTTATTGTAAAATTACAATCTAAAGAGATATTTTCTATTCTAAATCAGTATTATATGTAATTATTCTAAATACTGACATAATTTAAATTTTTTATTCTGTATTAAACATTACCTTTAAAAGTTATCGATCTTGGAGATACTTTTAAATGCCCTATTCTTTAATATATCGAGAAACTTAGTTTTTTATTCATATTTTACGAATACCGTATTATGATTCATAGCATTTTTTATTTTACAACGGAAATATAGGCTAGAATAATTGTATTACATGCTTATCACATAAATCTACCATAAAGTGTTAAAGTTTTAATTTTATCATGAACAAATTATTACCTGTTAAAACGAGTTTTATATTACAAAATTATTTATGTACATCCTTTTGTTAACTTAGATATCTACTTTAAACTATTGTTGTAATTATATTGATATTAGGATTGATCAACCTTTTATTGTGGATATTTAAAGATTTAATTAAATTCTAATATGAATTTAAGATTATATTTTTATGTGAATATCAGATTTTATATAGAATTTTTTTAGGGATGTTAATATCTTATATTTTCATCATATCCTATATAATATATATATTTTCTAAATTTTAATATATATATATAGCAATATTAACTCTCGATGAAAATTTCTATAAATTATAAATACGGAGGCTCATATATGAAGGGAATATTATTTTTGTTAGTAAAATCGAAATTATTATGATTTAACAGTTACTAATTGAATTATGTCTGAGTAATGAAAGAATTTTTATTAAATTTTGATAAATATAAGAGTAATTTAATTCTATAAATTATTGATTGTTGTCAGTTACTTCTTATTATGAATTAGCAAAAAAATTTTTTTATAAAGCATATTTATAAAATTATTCATTTTAAAATTTTTAATAGAAATGTTGATTTATAGAATTGTTTTATTCTCTATTGTTACATGTCTCTTTATTTACGTGTGTTAGAAATAATTTTAATGTTAAGAATTAATTTTGAGTAATAATGAATTTATATATTATATATATCTAAAATATTTGTTTGCAGATGAAAGAGATGCAATACAAAAGAAGACTTTTACAAAATGGGTGAACAAACATTTGAAAAAGGTACAGTCGCAATTTGATTTATGTAATATAATATAAGGATAAAAAAAGTTCAATAATCATTAAATAAAAAAGAGTCGTATAAAAATCTTTGTTTTAAGTATGAACTATTTTATAAAAGATACACGAGTAATATCATTTAATCGATATATTAAAATAAAAGTTTATAATAAAATTTTTTTATCTAATTAGCTAATTATTTAATAATTTAATAATTTCAAATAACTTCAAATAAATAACTAAAATAATATTATTAATGAAATATTATATATAAACATTACAATTGCAACGTATCCACATACTTTTTCAGGTATCACAATTAGGACTACTCATTTTCATTTAATTTATGTAAGTTAGTGTAAATAAAATACAGAATGTATGAGATCTAGAAGAATATTTAAAGCGATGAACAAAATTATCTTTTATGTAATAATTTATATCAAGCAAATAGACGTTAAATTAAAGGTTTTTTATAAATTTACAGTAAAATAGAACAAAAGTCTTATATTTAACAACTTATATCAAGAGTGTAAGCGTTAAATTAAAGTTTTTTTTGGTAAACTAGCTTGTAAAATAAATGTGAAAAAGGTGAATAAAAAACACTTGACGAAGTTCAGTTTATATGTATTGTAAATATTTTTAGCTCTTTACTTATTAAAGACACATTCTGAATTAATAAATTTTAATGCTTTGAAGAATATCAGCAAAATTTTATTTTTAATGAAATGTTTTTTAGTGAATAATTTTATACTTAATCTTTTTTTGGTTATGTAACCAAATTTGTACAAGGAAATATTATAAAAGTAATTTATTTCTCAGTTTTTTAATTCTTAAAGTCTTCAAAACCAAGGAGGATAATTAGTAATTTTTAATTATTATATATGTATATATATATTATTATTACTTATGTATATGATAGCAATAAATATGAGGTAAAAAGATATTTATGTCATCTTTGTATTGTTACATAAGTTTAACAAAGTTTTTTCAATAAAACTACTACTATATTTTTTGAAGAATTACAATACATTAGAAAATATAAAAACTCTATATGCTTATTAATTAATTAATAATTAATATTATTATTATTATTAGATAATATTATTATTAGAATCAGTTAATATTCAATATAATATGTTAATATTAAATTTTCAGAATGATCTGAATAGAATTATTTAATAACTCCGAGAAAAAGCAACTAATTAAGGCGAAAAACTCTTTACTCATTATTAACAATTACAATACTTTGATTACTTTAATATATTTTAAATGTAGTATAACGTAATAACTACTATTAAAATTAAGTTAAAGATAATCTAATAGATAAATTATGAGTTATCTTTTAAAATATTGATTAGGTCTTATATTGTTTAGACACAGAATACAATTAATAGATTTCACCAAATATTTGTCATTTATAAAAAAAAATGTAAGAAATTACATTCTAGATAAAAAAGGTTTTTAAATAATTTTTAGATAAAATTTAATAAACTATATAAAATTTTGAAGTAGTTTAAGATATTTTTACATTGAATATTCTAATTAGTGTTGTATATAAACGTAACTTTATTAATTCTAAAAACTATTTATAATACTCGTAAATTTGTAATTTAAGTGAACCAGCAAGTTGAAAAATTTTTAATTAAAAAATTAATTATGTATTTAATTAAATATTTATCTATTTAAATCATCAATAATAGAATTTCCAATTAATATCTTTAAGACTTGCTTTAATATGTTTGCTATAATTGTTATTCATGAAATAATAAATATTATTACACATTAATTTTGCATATTATTTCACGCCTTAATAACTAAAAATATTTATAAAACAGTAATTGTTTTTATTATGTAATAAATATTTATAATAAATATAATACAATAATAGTGTTAAATCTTATGGTATTACAACTATAAAATCAAATTTTTGTAATCTTAATTTTATTTAAAATATTCAAAAAATGAATTTATATATCAATAATTAGATGCAATTGTACTCGCTTATGTACGATCAAAAGAACTCAATATGATATTGAATACCACTTCAACTTTTTAATTTTAATATTTTAACTTGACTTATTAAATAATGCTTATGATTTTTTTATTCTTTTATGCTTTCTTGCAGCATTGGAAATACATTAAGGTAGGCAGCATAAACTACTGTAATATTTATAATATTTATTAATTCATAAATTATAATCGTTATAAATCATTACAAAATTTTTATATGTAACTATTTGCATTAAAAGAAAAGTTGTAAAGCCTTTATTAATGTTTAAATTTAATGTAAGCATACAATTTTCAATATCTTTTGAAAGTTATTTATAATAATTTATTCAAAACTAAATATATGTACAAATATATACTAAAAAATTATTAAATATATATTTTGGAAGCAGAAAATTTGACCATTATTGATTATTTAATATTTATTACTTCAATTGATAAATTGGAAATGTATAATTTTTTAATTTATTATTTATGATTAAATCATCAACTTTTTGTAAACTCAAAAAAATGTAAAAACTAATTACTTTTTAAAAATACTTTATAATTTTCAAAGTAATTATATTTGTGGAAAAAGAATTTACATTAATTTATTGAATATACATTAAAAAACGACAGTGTTAGCTAAAAGAAATAAATGTAAAATACATTATTTTAGTATTTGTATTTTAGTAATTTAGTATTTGTAGTTTATTATTTACTTTTATTCTGGTTTCGAAATTTATAATTAATTTAAAATTATCGTAATAATAAATAATAAAAAATATAATAATTAATTAAATAAAATTTTTTCCTATATCAAAGAATATTTTGACTATATTTTTTATATCGTTAATATACTATTTATATTATTTTTAAAACTAACTTTTTTATAGAATTTAATAATCATTAAACTCAAATTAGACTAAATTAATTTATAATATAAATAAATTATTTATATTACCATCAAATATGGTTACAAATTCAGTTCTTGAATGATTTAATTTATTCGTTTATGGATCAGATAAATATATATAGATACAGACATTCATAAACTGATATGATTATAGACGAATAAAAATATATTCCTTCAATACACTTTCTATATTTTTGTAACTTGCTGTTTTCTGGAGTTTTCTCTTTTTACAGACTTATACATGCCTACACGTGTGTGTAGTCGTTAGCAACCAGCCTTGCTGTTCTCCCCCTGTAAGTTATTTGTTAAGCGGTTTATATATAAAATAATTGTTTTGTGACTGCATGCATAAATGTTACTCTTTATAGTTATTCTTATTTATCGTATTTTTGATTTTAATTCCCAAAGTAAATATTTTACGATTTATTATATTATTAGCAAAGCTATATCTTAAAAATTAAGATTGGATCGATACAATCAACACAATGTTTTATCTATTATATACACATTTTAACTATTTTATTATTTTATTAAGTTATTATTTATTAAGGTATTATTTATTACTTATTAAATATTTATATTTTTTACCTCATATTTAATCTTTCATAACAGAAGTAAATGATTAATTTGTATATTAACTTTATCATTATTTTATTCTTTTCAATATCAACTATATCTTCAATTTAAATACATTGGATATTAATTATTTTATGCTTAAAATAATTGGACCCAAAAATATTAATAGTATTAAAATGTATAAAGTGGAATAATCAAAATTTATTTAAGTCTAAAAGATATTATTGTAAAGTAATTTTTATGAGTTTATAAATATAACAAATTTGATAATGTTTGAAATATTAATATTGCTATTATGAAAATTGAATAATAAATTTACTAAATTTTTTGTTTATTTTCATGCTAAGGACAGAATTAAAATTACGCATGTTGTTACATCTGCTTCTTCTATATGTACTTTAATAGTATCTTATATACGTATATTGTAAAGTATGGCTTAATAAAGAAAAATCTGTAAACAATTTTTTTACACGTATAAATAATTATTACGACAATATAATTATAGAAAGTCTAATAATATTAAAAGTAAACTACATCTTTTCTTTTAGGCGACCAGATATATTGGGGACTTATTTCAAGATCTCCGAGATGGACACAATCTTATTTCTTTACTGGAAGTATTATCGGGAGAACATCTCGTAAGCTCCTAAAATTTCTTTTTTGCATGTAAATTACATTTATTTGTAGATTATTATATTCATACATTGTACGTAAAATTAATTAATTCGTTAAATTTGAACAATAATTCATTTTATTTAAAAAATTATGATTTTATTTTCTTATACACTATAATTTTTTTTGGTTTATTATGAGAAATTTAATATTTGTTTTCATCGAGGAAAAGGTATTATATTTTTAAGACCATCACGATTTTGTAAATTACGTTAATCTTCTACTTTTCGTAAATTTTTTAAATAATTACCATACAAAAAAAAATAAAACAAAGATGAATTAATATAAGACTTGAGCAATTAATAAGACTTATTTAGAATATTTTATTATTATGATTTTTGAAAAATAAAATAAAAATATTAATTTATATTTTTCTAAGAATTCTCAGAATTTTTCTCATAGCTTCTTAAGTATAAATCAATTATTCCGTATTTATTATTTAAATTTGTATTCAATTTTTATATTAATTTATATATTGATTATAGTTATTATTTTATTGAATATCACTTCATTCATTAAAAATACGTCTGGTTTATGATGAATGCATCAATATATAAAATAATATATTAGGCTATAAAATATCGTTAAATGATATAACTATTTAATTATTATAAAACACGATCGTTAGTTAAAATTAGTTACTGTGTAATTATCCAATACTGGTATACTGGTATAATTCAGTTAATGAGAAGTTATTTTATTTGTACTTAATACAGAAAATATATCACTAAGCAGAGCTACATTTCGTTATTATTCTAAAATTAATTATATTATATTTATATAGAAATTATGAAAATTTTCAAATGTTTTCCAGCCGAGAGAAACTTCTGGGAGCATGCGGTTTCATATGCTAGATAACGTAAGGATAGCATTACGTTTTTTACAATGTAAGAATATTAAACTTGTTAATATTCAAGCAGAGGATATAGTCGATGGTAATCCTAAATTAACTCTTGGACTTATATGGACCATCATACTTCATTTCCAAGTATGTAATTTAGAAGTTTTAAAAAAAATTTTTATTGTTAAATTACAATTATTTATCATAATATATTGTTCATTTTCCTTATTATTCGTTTGTTTATTTATGATATAATTTGTCATACTTTACATAATATATCAGATATAAATTTGATCTTCATTTTAACCTTTTTTTCAACAGACTCACATGTCTTATGCTACTTATCACAGTTCTCTTTTACATGGCTTTTTGTTACTGTTTATATTCACGATTATACATACATTTATGAAATTATAAAAAGTAATCATGCATGATTAATTGCCTAAAATTATTTATTTTAGATTAGAATTAAAATTGTTTTACATAATTATGTTATTTAGCTAATATAATATTGCCTGATATAATATAATATAATATTTTATTTTATTATGCATAACATATTGAATATTCAATTAGTCAAATATATTTCTTTTGCAAATATTTGTCATTGTTATTTTTAGATATTAAAACTATTAAAAAGAAATATATTATCGATGATAATAGGAAAACAATAAATATTCTTATAGCGTTGATACCAATATAAAAAAGTTACACATTGAATAATAAATAAGTATAAAATTCGCAAAGTAAATCATTGAATAATATGCTGGTACAAACAAACTTGAAAAATATCATAGTCGCGTTCTAAAGGAAAATTCGTCGATAAAAGACTTAGAAAAGTTGGGATAGTGAAATCATTTGGATTGGTAAGGCAGATAATGGATATGAATTAAAAGTTAATTCTTTCTATTATAATTGTGTTTAGTGATTCAGAAGTATTTCTAAATTGTATTGTTAATCGTACACAAAAAAGACCTTACCTTAAAATGGTTCCAATGAACCTCTAAATAGAGTAATCCTGATTAAAATTCCAATTTGTGGCTTTACTTATACAAAACTTGGATGTGCGTGATTTGAAATATATTTAATTATCAAACTTTTAAATTATATGCATATTTAAGATCATCCGTTTTAAAAAAGGAGAAAATTTATACTGGTTTAAGATTACATATATTTACTTTTACACAATATTTCATAGGAGATTAATATTACTTTATCAATGCCTTAAATATGTATTCTAAGCAATAATATGAAAACCTTTTTTACAAATATTTGTTATTCCAATTTCTTAAATTGATTTGCAGTGTCTTATTCGATACATATTGTTCGATACATGTAGCTGCAAGCATAAATTAAATAAAAAAATAAAAATAAAGTTACTTATCTTAAGGAAGCGTAATATAAAGAATATTGCCTCTTTATAGACATTTATTAACAGTATAAATGTATAAACAGTATGAACAATATAAATTACTTAAATTATATATATATGCTTATTAGATGATTTAAATAATTGTTGGATAACTAAACTAAGTAAATATTAAATAATTATAGCAGTTAGTATTAAAGAAGTAGTTAGTAGGGTGGGGGTAACGTACATAAAATATACTAAAAAAAGAATCGCATTAAATTAAATCGAAGCAAAATACAATGAAACTTTTTCAATTTATTTAAAAATAGTATTAACAAATTTATAATTTGGTGTATACCAAATAATATAAATATTTTTGAACTCTCTTTTACACTTTTTATTTTATATTACAGAATGTTAACCACTTATTTGTATATTACTTAATAATTTTAAATCAAATTTTAATATTTTTAAATTGTTTTGAAGATTGAAAATTAGTTCATAATAGTAATTTTTTATGATTGACCACCGTTCTGTTACATTATTTTCTAAATCATCTTACTTCTTTATTATTAAAACTTTATTATATGCAATAGTCTTTATGTATTAATTTATTAACTTTGGTGAACTAATTAAAGTGTTTAGTTGCAATATGCCGTATTATTGAATTGAAAATCTTGTTCGATTGTGTTTATTCGCTTAAACGAAAAACGTCTTCAAATACTTTTTAAAGTATTTAAAGTATTTAGTTTGTATTTAAATCTTTGAAAACTTGCTGAATAAAGTTAAAGTTGTTTTATGTCACAATATGAAAAAATACAGTATTAATTAATTATGTATGCTACGTGTCACTCATACTAGCAGTCGATATCTATAATTTCTTTGTTTATTTTATTTCATTATTTGCTTACTTATTATTCAAAATGAAATTTTCACCATTATATTGAAAACTGTTTTAAGTTTAAGTATTAAGTTATTATAAAAGATAGTTATATTTATATATTCATTAATCATTGTAATTAATTTTTTGTAGTAACGGTATTATTAGTATTCAATATAAATATGTAAAAACCTTAATAAATTATTGTTTTGATATTTCATGTAATAAACTTCCTCAATAAATCACAAAATAATAATGATTTATTTACATAAGTTGAAAACTGGGAGTAAATTATTACTCATCCATTCCTATTTATTTAGTTTTTATATTTTTTCATTAATTATAATTTTCATTTTTATAAATTAACATTTTATTATCATCAAATTTTTATTTTGATATATTAAATTTTATATGTAATTTATCGAATATTACACTTTAACGACTATTTAAAAAAATAAATAAGTTATATAATATATAATATTAAAAACAATTTATATTATGTAAGTTAAATCAACCTTACATCACACGGCATCTGTTTTCTAGAAATTAATTAATTTTAAAAACCAGTTCTAGCATCATAGTTGAGATTCTTAACAACTGTTTTGAAATTATCAATTAAAGGAACACAAACGCCTGATACATATTACAGTTACCAATAAATGAATATATATTAAACTACATCTATACAAATATGATTTATGCAACATGAAACCTAAGCTCAGTCTATGACAAAAAGGAATCAATATTTTGTTTATCGTACCTGGCAATATATTATCTTTCATACCATATGTCAACATGATAACTTCTACTAACTTATTATAATTTCGAGGTTTATACTGTAGATGACGTTATAAAACATCTTGGAACTGACATCACGTTTAATAATATTTCTCTTAGGCGTAACCATATTGGGGAATGAATGTACTATAAAAAATATTTTGAATTACAAAACTATATATACATGTATGTATGCGGGCACGTATGTGTGTACGCAGTTAGATACTTTATTATGGGACAAATATTAATAATTACATAATTTAAAAAATAATTTAATTAAAAATGGATATAAAACTAACGAAGTAACAGAATAATAATTATTTTTCTTAATTTTATTTGATCGAGTATTTTACAATTTATTTTTAGTAAATTTGATTATTTTGTATTAAAGCTATTTTTGAAACTATTCTCAAGGATAACACTATCATAAAATAAAACTTAATTTTAAAAGTAATTTATTCATTAAGAATATTTTATTAATGTATTTTACAATTAAAAATACTAGAAATTTAAATATAAATCAACAACAACCATATATATACATACATACGAGTGTGTGTGTGTTCATTCCATCTTATCTACATATCTGAAAATTAAGGTAACATACAGTCGAACATTCTACATAAAAAAATTAATTTTTAAGAAATCACATATTAAAATTTTAAAAATGTATTAAAAATTATTTTACCTTTTAAAGCATAATTAAGAATAGTATTTTGTATTAATATGTATTTAATGTCAAAATAGCTTACAAGTATCAATTAAAAAGCATCGATCGTGTATGCTATTTTAAGCACTTCTGGATTCTAATAAAATGATCTGAAATAATATTTTATTAGTTTAATATTTTTCAGTTTTTAGACAAAGAATTTTGGAACATTAGTCGAAAACTAAAATTATAATTTCCTCTTTATAAAAAGTAAAATTTCTTAATAAAATACATTGTTATAAAAAATTATGCAAATATAAGTTAGATCAAATTTTTATATTTATAATAGATGTGTGTATAACATTTCAGCTCGATCTGAACAATAGTTTTAAATATATGCCATTATTAATTTTAAAGAAGTATCTTAAAATATATATATTAGAATATGAAGTTTAAAAAAGCAGAAGGTACATTTATTTGTTGATCATTTATTATTATAAAATGGAAATTATTTGTAATAGAAAAAATACAATTATAATACTTACTAAATAGTGTTTGCATTACAATATTTGTATGAATTTATATTAAATTATTTGTATTCATTAAGCATGCAAAATAGACTTATTTTACTTTATGTATGTATCGATTTGTTAAGTTACACAATCAATAATTAAATACACTTTTATCTATAATTTCAAAAAAATGAAAAAACTAAACTAATAAACTATCCTGAAGGGAATAAAACATTAACAAATTTATTTTATCTTATTTTTACACATAAATATGTATTAAAGATTGAAGAATTAAAAAATAACTGCCCAATTCATTTATATTTTGTATTTAATACTAAATGGGGAATGATTTAAATTTACAATTATTTCGAATTAAGTTGAATAATAGTTTTATGCTAAAACAATATATTCCTCAACAATCTACAGTAATATTAACATTACATTAAATTTGTTTTAAAAATATGCTTAAACTGAGTTATATAATACATTTTATTCTTTTATTATTGTAATAATAGATCATTGTAATAATATTTTGACTCTATATAAATAAGTCGAAACTAGAAATTAAAAAAATAATATGAAAAATATAGTAAGAAATATAAATTGTTTGGAAGTTTTTTAAGATAAATTTGATATACATATAATATATTTGTATTACAGTATTATAATTTTATATTACTTGTTCAACTAACCAATCTACACATGAGAAGTATCTTAAAAATTATTATTTAGATACTTTTAGTTTATAGAAATTTCTAAAATAAAACTGTTATGTGATTATTCATCGCTATTAAATTTTTCTCGATTTTTATTGTGTATTTTTAATTCTACATTTAAAATAATATTTGGATTTTAGATATATTTGATGTTTACTTATTCATTGAATTTTTAGTTAACATTAGTATATATAAAATTCTTATTGCAATATTGGACATTCAATGAAATATGTAGGTATAGCTGAATAATTATTAAATAATA